GTTGCATAAAATGCCAGTTAATATCTGAGGGCTGTCAATATCCTTATGACTTTGCCTTTTCTATTGTCTTACTCTTATGACGATCTTTAGTTCTGAAGGAGTAAGAGTGTGAAAAGCTTTATTTTTTTCCAGATATCTTTATATTTCTATTGTATTTTTTAGTTATGTAATATGTGCTGCAGATTTTTTGTTATTAAACATAATCCAGAAATATCTAGAAAGATTCTGTTTGAGAGGGCAAGAGACTGCCTAAAACCTAGGAGATATCTGTCCATGCTATCTGTGGACTGCTTTCTTGGATATCTGGGGCTTTCCCAAAGCTGTGAGAAGGTACATTGTAATATTTATTGAAGTAATTTGGATTACATAAAACAACATTCCCAGTCTGGATTGAGGATGAGTACATTATTTTCAGATCCTGCATGTATTTTCCTCATCTCAATAAAGCTGTGCTATGAGATTCATGTAGAAAATTATTTGCCTCTTGATAAAAAAACCCATCAGAGCTATAGAAATGCATAATTCTTCCTGGAAAGTTCCCTTTAGCTGCTGTCAAAATTTAAATGTCAGATGTTTGCCTGCCTTTGATTCTGGAGATACTTGTTAGGAGAGGACTGTGTCGGGCTAGTACTGACTGTGAGGTCTTTTACCCATGTCCTGTAGTTGGAGACTCTTCAGAGACTACTCAGTGTTACACTAAACTGTATCTTGAGGAAAAAAGTTGCAGATATATTCAAAAGAAAGCTGAAAGTCAAATTTATTTGATATAGTGTGCTAGGTGCCTGAAAAGAGATATAATACAGTAACTTAGTGAAGATTTGGTAAACGATTCAATGTGATCTGCACAATGTTGAAAAACTTCTGTTCATCTTCTCTGTAGAGATGAAACCGTACCTAACACATAATTACACATGCATGCAGCTTTCATGCTCCATAACTCTTCCCTTTTTATTTGCCTTTCTCTAATGGTGTGCATGGAATATGCCTTATTACAGAGTTATTCTGTTCATTTGAATATGTAGAAAAGTGCCTAATGGTAATGTTAGTAAGGCAAATAAGATGAAAATTTGTACATCTTTACTGTATCACCAGTGAGCATTTTATATACCAACGTTAAAAAACAAAATCTTATACCTCAAATGTACTTCATCTTTTTACAATCAACTAAGCAGTGGTATATTCCACCATAGCCACTGATGGGAACTTAAAAAAAAAGTCCAAAATATAAAGAGTTTAACTCCTTATTTGCCATTTCTGGTAATTGTTGGAACACGGGCAAGTTTATTAATTTAATAGGATAGCTTTATTTTACAAAGGTATGGAAAGTTTACAAAGCAGTATATAAACTTATATCATTAGTTGCGTTTGCACTAAATGTGATGTAATTTTGCGATTTATTCTGTAAATAAAATGACACTACAGATACTATTTGTAAAGAGTATGTTTTACTTTTAGATAAAGGCACTGTTACTTCACTGTAGCTAGCCCTGCCCAATCAGAGTTGTAAGAGGCTTTTTAAAGACTATGGACGGAGTTACATGACTGAGAAGTCATTATTAATGGACCTCTGAAAAAATAATTTCAAAAGGCAGTAGGCCTCTCAGATTGTGTGAGTAGCCATTAGATCCTTTCTTCTGGAAGGGATGTTGCTTTTATGGTTTTATACAATTTACCCTGTCTCTTGAGCCCATCCTTCTTGTCAGTCACTGCCAGGTCTATGCGCTCTGAGTTCATTTCTTCCTGTTCACAGATCAAGAGTGTTAATGCAGCTGTGGTGGTCTTTGCAGAAGCAGCTTCTGACTCTAGAATGGTTATTTTATAAGCTGAACCAGTTCAAAAGGCTGAAAATGAAGCAATCATCAGATATTGTGCTCTGGATATCTGCATCTGTTTGGAGAATTTGGATGTTGCAAAACTAAATCTGAAGAACATGACTTGATAGAACTTGTACTGGGAATGAAGATGAGATGGTCGTTGTTATTCTGTCTGAGAACCTGAAAATCTTTGACAAGTTTATCTGTGAAAAATGTAATGCACTTTGAAAAAACTTTACCTTTTACTTAATTGGGCTAAGCTGGCTTATCTGAAGTTATGCAGATTCTCTTTAATCAGATTGTCCACCTGTATTTTTGTCAAGTTGTAAAGATAATGCTGTATTTGAATTGCCACTGTTCATTTACAGATTTAAAACATGAATCATATTTTTGAGTACCTTGAGTGTGTAGAGTTGTAACTGTTCTATAATAGCTTTATGATCCTAATGATAAGTTTTAAAAATTTAAAGAAGTTGGCTCTTACATGTTACAATCACAAATTTAAAACCAGTATTTAAAAGTATTAAAAATTATGAAGAAAAATCTTGCCTTCTTGTTATTTTTAACTTTCCAATGTTTGGAGAAACTTAAAATATTTTTACCTTTTAACCAATTTTACCTTTTAAATCATTAATAAAGTTATATACAATATTCTAGTGCATGGAAAACATTTAACAGGAAAGCAGTTGTTTTACTGAGGTTACTGAGATGAAAGCCTGAATGCCACATTAGTTTATACATTGAAAAGATCATTTTGTGCAAGCAATTAGAGGGGTGTTAAAAGGTGCTCCTGGTACAGTGTAGTTATAATATTGGGCACTCCCAGAGTATGTCAGCTCTTCATTTGTAGGGAATAACAAGATTGTGGGAACTTCCATGGGAAGAACAGCAATCCAGGACTAAGATGTGCCAAAGGGTAAATTTACAGCTTTTCCAAAATAAGTGTAATATTTTGTAACTGAGATTAGCTTCCATGAGCCAGTTTTCTTAATAGGGGAAATAGGTGGTGCCTAATGGATCAATCACAGTCCTACCTTTATTTGTTATACAGTGATTTCTACTTCTTTACATAACAATCAGTAAAACTGTAGAAACCTTACAGGTACACAGGACTGGAAGAACAGTTTGAAGTAAACGAAGGCATTACTTGAACAGCAACAAAACTTAAACTCAGCTGTGTCAGGCCTCTTGTAATATATTGCAAAAAACAGAGAGTCCTGAGGTAACCTCTGACCTTAGAGAATGCAGCTATTTTCCCTGGCATAAAGAAAACCCCCAAATTTAAAAAAAAAGTCACATTTCACATTCATGGTCCCATAACTTATATGTATAATTTTAAAATTGCATAATTTCCAGTAAGGAGATGTTGAGCATTTCTGTGTAACTACAATATAATTTGACCCTGGATGACAAGTGATAATTGGGGCTATGCCATACAATTTACTGGTGTGTATTACTAACACTAACCATCTTCAGTCTCCACCATTAATAAGCTAAGTTTTATAGGAGGAGAAAAATACATTTTGTTTGAAGAAAGGAACACCTTTGAGCATTAGCAACCTCAAAGTGTCCCCAGCTGTAGCCATTGATTCAGTAAGCTCTTCTCTTGCACACCTGCCTCTTCAGTGCATGGACTACAGCCAGCATAAGGAAGCCTGGTACTGTGGATTGCTGCAGTTTTCAGGGTTTAAACTAATTCTCCTTAAAAATAATATTTTTTAAATTATTTATTAATTTGGATTGATCAATAGTTGGACCTGTTGTCACCCACAAGACTTCCCAAACTTTTGTGTGCCAAGAGACAAGCCACAGATTGTACAAGTCTGTAGCAAGTGATTCTTAACTAGTGCTAAGAGTGGCAAAATATGACAGCAGCCCTGAGGATTCCAATTTCCTGGGGCAGGACTGCAACTCAACCATGGAGCAGCCTGGCAGATGCAGCTCTTAGGAAGTTATGCCCTGTATATGAAGGAATTCCAGCTCGGAGGCCCAGGATAGTGTGCTGTCTTGGTGAGGGTGAGTCATGCCCAAGTATGAACAGAATTGTAGGTGTGTTTGTACCCTCCAGAAATCAGCTGTAGTCTAGGTAATGAGCTGGTGATGCCTCACTGCTCGGTCTTCAGCCCGAGGGTGCTCAAGTACGTGAGGCTTCCCCACACCCCACACTAGAGCCTGTGGCAGTGGGATGTTAGCGCTGAACCAGTTGAACATGGAGCTGTTTATTTAAAACATTTTGAAGCTTTTTCTGAGAATGGCCTCTGCCTTTAGTTGTTTCATAAATCACTTGGGACTGCTGAAGGGTGGCAACGTCTCTGACAGAAGCTGGTATACTTTAGCAGTGGTTAAAATTGTTGTCCTCTGTAAAGAACCTGAGAAATTTAAATGAACTCCTTTATCTTTTTTTTGACTGAACTGTAATTGAAAACTCTCAAATTTAATTCAAATGACACTGGATTATTACTGCAATACTAGGGTAACTAACCATCCTACTATCAAGAGAAGTGCTAAGTAAAATCACCAGTAATGCAAATAGCAGCTGCTAATTTTTTTTGTAATAATTTTTTTAATAAAAAGCACTTAACACTTCAATATAGCTGTCAGCTGTGAAAAGTCCAGTAATAAAAACTACCCTGTAATTTACTTTCTAATTAACTAAAACTGTCCTAATTAATTCCACTGAAAATAACGGAACATGTTGAAAGATATGAAAACCACTTGCCAATGTTAATATTACTAGATTTTCTTCCACTTCTAACTTTGGTTACATCAGAAGAAACAGTTTCCTTAACAAGTAGCTGTTCCTGTCACATACGCTTTGGTGAAGAGGTGTACTGTTAGTTGCTCTTTTATAGAGCAGTTTCTGTGTTTATGATTGTGTGAGACAGTACCTCCTGCATTAAAGGGTATTAACTTCATATATTACTGAAAAGACAAATTTTGGATGACTAGGTGCTCAAATGGTGCTCTGAAGAAACTTACGGTAGCAGTGGGATCTGGGTACACAGAGGAATGAATTCCAGTAAGTCTGACATTTTTAAACTGTTAGGAAATAGGCTTTTTAGGCTATCTCCCTTGCAAGAGAAGGAAAACTATCAGTATTAACATTTACGGATTTTTTGAACAGTGCTAATTTAAAGTGTCCACTTCTGTTCATATTCACAAGTGAAAGAAAACCACACTCATTAATTGCAACTGACAAAACCGATATTTAGTACTTTATTTCCTTCTGTTTTGATTTGCCCACAAAAAGCTTTTTAGAAAAACATCCTTTTCTGAAACACAAAACCAGTGCCTTAATCGCCTAGATTTTTAGTCACATTAGTCTTTTGGGGTCAATTTTCTCCAGGTGTACTAGAGGCTTCAGCTGCTCAGCAAAGTTCCTCATGTCATCAGAAACAACGTCCTGTCCTCCTGGCGCGACCACGTTGAGCTCCACCAAGTAGGACAGGGAGAGCGGCTCAATGCTCTCCGTGTTTCCCGGCATCAGTATGCGGAAGATCTTGTACACCATGATCTTCATGATGCCCTTGCGGAACACGTGCCCTTTGGCCACGAACTCGTGGTCCATGCGGAAGCCCATCTCCACGAGGAAGTCCGTCAGGTTGTCGGACGTGGCGATGTCCACGCAGTTGCGCACCAGCGCTTGGCGGTTCTTGTCGCCTATTTCGGGCTGTCCCAGATAGCGCAGGTGCCAGGGCATCCCGCTCTTGTCCATGGAGCGCCGAGCGCGCAGCACGAAGGGGCTGGCCTGCTGCCCCTTCAGCAGGAACACCATCTCGTGGTCCAGGAAGGTCTCGGGCTCCATGTTGTCGCACAACCCGCGCAGGCGGTGCAGGAGGCTCTCCAGGCTCTGGTCCAGCACGCTCCCTGCGGAGACAGCGCCGCGATCATCGCCTCCCCTCAGGCCGAGCTGGGCTCCCCCTCCGCAGCGCGCCCGCCCCAGCGCGCTCCGGCCCGCCCGTGCGCGGCGCCAGCAGCCCCTCCCCCCCGCCGCTGCCCGCGGCTGCCTGCGCTGCGCGACCCCGCGGCCGCCCACCTTGGAGCAGGTACTCCATCATGTTGATGGTGCCGCCCGTGACGGGCATCATGGTCACCGGCGGCGCCTCCATCGTGAGCTCCCGCACCGTCCCCGCGGCCTCAGCGGCGACGGGCAAAGCGGCGGCAGCGCCCCCTGGCGGCTCGGCGGGCCGGTGGGGGCAGGGTCTGGGGCGGGGTCTGACGGACGCCCCGCCCCCCTCCCCTCACGCGGCCTGGGCGGGTTTCTGAGGCGAGACAGGGGCCGCGGACGGAGCGGAGCGCGGCCTCTTCCACCTCCGCTTGGCCTGGCGCAGAACTTCCCTATGCTGAGAGTGGCAGGGCAGTGGAGCAGGCTGCCCGGGGAGGGTGTGGAGTGCCCCTCTCTGGAGCCATTCAGAGCCCAACTAGATGTGTTCCCGTGTCACCTGCTCTGGGTGACCCTGCCGCAGCGGGGGCCTTGGACTGGATGAGCTACAAAAGTCCCTTCCAACCCTAATGCTTCTGTGATGCAGTATTTCGCCTTTTTTCTAGTTTGCTCAAAGCAGGGAATCAGGAGGTAACCCACGAAAGGCTGGTTCTGTGATCATCAAACCTCTACACTGTTTATACCTTTTAACAAACAAAGGCATCAGCATTTGTTTGCTGTGTGTTGTACTTTTCTTCTAATTAGTACTCAAACCCCTATTTTCTGGTTTATCTCTTGCTTTTCCAAGTTCTAGTAGTTAGTCTGCAGTCATGGTTCTTCCCTCCCTTTGGGTCAGGGTTTGGTGGTCAATGAGACTGATCACGGCCATCCACTGCTGGAATTACCTTCCCTGAATTACTGCCCCCTCCTGCTGCCTTCACTCCTGGCAGCTCATCCAGAGGGTCCATTCATCTTGGGATTGTCTTCTCTTTCCTCAAAACAAAAGGTGAGCTAAGCATGCAACATTCACAGTGCAATTGCTTAATCATAGCTGTTCAGCTACAGCTACTGATCAACAACTGAAAAAAAGACAACATTGCTAAGTTTGGTTCAAGTCTTGAGGACCTCAAATCTTGAGAGGCCAAAATTGCAAGGGACTCGCTGCCAGCCTCACCCCTGCACAGGGGGCACAGTGGAGGAGAGTGGGAGGCCAGCGGGCAGGATCAGCCATCAGGGGTCATCCTGGCTGCACCCACAGCCCTCCCCAGGTAGAGGTGGCACATGCAATTAATTCTGTGTAAAATCTCCACTAGAAATGTTCCATCTCTGTCTCTCTCTCTCTCACATCAACAGCAGAGGGGCCAATGCTCTGGGGTGTTGCAAGCCAGGCTTCAGCTTCTGCAGCAGTTTGGGTTAAAAATTGTTACCAGAGGTGCAGCACCTATGATTCATTGGTTTGGGAAGGCAGAAATCTCATCTGGGTGTGGTAGGGTGTGCAGTAGGGTGTGCAGTAAAGCCTCTGTTTTCAAAAAGTGATGGAAATGCCCAGTATGCACCCACTGAATTTGCTCCTGTCAATACCCAAAACAGAGTTTTAAATGTGACCTTTCTCTTAGCAGTTTTTTGTGTAACAAGCCTTTGTGCCGCACAGAACGTGAACAGTATGTCTGTCTTTATCAGTATCTACACAGCGATGGTAGCCCCTGCCACCCCTCAAAAAATTATATAAACACAGGTACAAGCCAAAGACCTGCAAATGAGAAGTGGCATAATCGTACCCTCCCAGGACAGTAAAGGTTTGTATCACCCCCGGTGTACCAGAGGTAGTTTGGAGTACTGACAAGCAGGGGTGACCTGGGAGGTGCAATGCAACCCATGAGGGGAATATATGTATTTACATAGGAGAGAACCACACCCAAGGAGCTGCCACAGTGGACACATATTGTACATACTCCCCATATTGCAGATAAGAGGTCTGTGTTGAAATAAAGTAAGAAAACAGTCAACAAAAGGTTTGGGTAATGGTTTTAAAAGCATTCCTAAGCTTGAAGGAGCAAAAAGTAGGTTTTCTCTTATATATAACATACATATATATAAAGCTTGTATCAGCTTTAGTTAATGTGGTCATCATACAATTAGCATGGAAAAAAATAATATTGAGAAAGATACCTAAGAAAAGTAAAAATTAGTAAAAATGTTTTAGCATGTCAGAAGTGGTAATTTCTGTGGTTTGCTTCTCTCTGTGGTGATAAAAATTTTCTCTTCTGTCTAGCTGAGGTACATAATAGACCTAAGAGAATGTCAATTTTCTGTCTTGAAGTAAAAATTCTTTCAAATTCCACAGCTGCAGCTACCTTGAGTAATTTTGCTCTGCAGTCTGAGAAGCTATGCAATAGTGCAATTCAGAATATAAATGCTGTCCCACAGTGGTCATCCATTTGTATCCCTTCTAGAAAAAAGAGGTGAGCAGATGTGGGCCTCAGAATCTCCAAGTATCCTCACCAGCAGTATGAAAGACAGCCTAGCCCTGCAGCTGCTGAGCTGCTTGTTATTGTGGGCTTGGAAGATTTGTGGTGCACCTATATACCTTAAAAATATCCTAAAGAACATTTTTTTGCAGCTGTTGAAGATAAGATGCAGCAGACACTGACAACAGGTGGCAAGACAGATGGAGGAGGTGGAGAGAAACAAAGAAAGAAATGAAGGGTAAACATGTTATTCTCAGCCACCCACCTGCATTATGTGCAGGTCTCTTGAAAATCCATCTCACTCACCTGTCTATGTCAGGGAAATGGGATACCCATGTGGGGCCAGGCCTTTATCTCAGCTCTCTGTCACAGGTCAAGTGCTCAGAGCAGAGCTCTGCAGGGAAATCTCAGGTGAAATGAGTGATCCAGCCATGATCACATTGAAATAACACCAGCAGAAGGGAGGTTCAGCTAGATGTAAACAGGATGAAAGGTTACTAAAACTCAGAATTTTTTCTCATTCATGTCACAGACTTGAGGTCTAAATCCCATTTTGTTGTATTTTTCAGATTAAGCATACAGCACTCTCCATTCACTCATGGTAAATTAACAGCAAAAAGTTTCACCCCACAAATCTGTGTGTTAGTTTCTTGAAATTAGTGCAATGAATTACATATTTAGGCTGGAAAACATCTCAAAGTCATCAAGTACAACTTATGACTGAATGCAACCTTGTTAGCTGGACTACGGCAGTGAGTACTGCATCCATTTTTTCCTCAAACACCTTCCTGGGAGGCCCATTCCAGTGCTTGAAAACCCTTTCAGTGAAGAAATTCTTTCCAATGTCCAGCCTGAATCTCCCCAGGCGTAGCTTGAGGCCATTTCCTTTTGTCCTGTCACTTGTCACCTGTGAGAAGAGATGGATCTGTACCTTTCTACAAACTCCTTTCAGGCTGTTGTAGAGTGATAAGGTCTCTCCCAAGCCTGTGGACTAACTTTAAAGTACTTGCATAAGATGCAAGTGGTTAGCAAAATCAAACCTAAATTTCACTTGGGGTCTCATGGGACTAATATCTCATGCAGCATCAGTAAGTACATTTTAAAGGGGCTCACAAACTTCTTTCAACTTCTTTTCCCAGGAATTAAATAGGCAAAAGCTCGCAAAACCTCAGAGTTTTCAACTTGCTTTGCTTTGGCATACTTGCAAATTTCAAAAAGGCCCATCTGCCAATGACATTTTCTGGGGTTTAGAGGACAGTCATGGTATTAAGTACCTTAATTAGTTGATAACGTCATTACTTTTTATTCCTCTCTTTGCTCACTTTTTGGAGGAGGAGAATTTTTATTGAATTAAATAACTAGAGTTGTGGTGGGATAGCCTTGGCAAAGGGTGAAATGCTCACCACCTATTCAGCAGGATTAGAGAGAAAAGTAGAATGAAAAAGCTCATAGGTCAAGAGGGAAGGATTGCTCCCTGGCATTTGTCACAGCAGAACATCTTGACATGTGGAAAATCAATCTGTTGCTGATTTAAAATAATGGGAGGTTAATGGGAGACAGAAGGACAAATGCTGGGATAGCTTTCTTGCCCCTTTTCCCCAGCTCAACTTCATTCCTTCCCCTTAGGCTCCTCTACCTAGACTCATAAAATCATTAAGGTTGGAAAAGACCTCAAACCTCATCAAGTCCAATGGTTAACATAACACTTCCAGGTCTGCCACTAAACCTGAGTCCCTGAGTGCCACGTCTACACCTTTTTTAACATTGCCAGAGGCAGTGGTACTACTGCTTGCCAGTGCAGGGCAGCCTGTTCCAATGCTTGTCTGCCCTTTCAGTGAAGAACTTTCTCCTAATATCCAATCCAGCCCTCATCTGCTGCAACTTGAGGCCATTTCCTCTTCTCCTTGTGCTTGTTACCTGTGAGAAAAGACCAAGCCCACCTGGCTGCAGCCTCCTTTCAGGCAGTTGTGGAGAGGAATGACTTCCTCTCTGATCCTTCTTTTTTCCACACTCGGCACCCTCATCTCCCTCAGCCTCATAGGACTTGTGCTCCAGACCCTTCATTAGCTCCACTTCCCTTCTCTGGAGTCACTCCAGTACCGCAATGTCTTTCTCATAGTAAGGAAAAATTACTCCACTCAATTATGTAATAGGCAATTTACATCATGATTTCATTACATAATCTGCATTTTGAAAAGTTATTGAGAGAATTTCAAGGTTGGAATTACACATTAAGTGATTTCGTGTGTTAACAGATAATTCAGGGGCTGAGTTGTATATCAATAGTTTTATGATAATAGATATTATAATGGACTTGTGATGATCCCAGGACCATCATAAATAAAGGACTACCTTAAATTACATTGCAGAGAGAGAAAACCACAATAAACATCAAATAATTGATGACTTAGTATGACACTCAGTGTAATGCACATTATGATTTATTCTTCCCCACCTCACAAAGCAGGAACAGTTTTCAAGTGAAATATTTCAGTGATCTCACCTGCCTGGTGGCTTGAGACTAAGCCCCATTCCTAAGCTTGTATTGCCAAAGCAAAAACTAAGGTTGCATGTAGTTTCCCATACTATGTGCCCATGTTCCCTGGATTTTAAATGCCAAATGTAGAGTGCATTGTTAGGTATTAAAAGAAACTGCTATGAGGAATTAACTTAGAATTCTCAGCTCTTCAGACTTTCTTATGCAGAAACAATTTTCATAAGGAAAACCAAGATTATCCTGCAAAAAGTACAATTCTGTTT